CTCGGATATGTCCTTGGAAGGGAGTATTTTATCAGGGGCGCTCTGGAGACAAAACCAGTCTTTGTTTCATATGCTAAGTAAAGAAGGTGGGCTGATTGGGGTGGATTTCAGACCAGGTGGGAAGAAGCTATGCTCCAGCAAGCCTGCTACAGATGCCACAGGCATCAAGAGGTAGGGCTTTAGAAAGCTCCTCACATCATTCCATGGAGGCAACCACCTACTTTGCCAGGCATTGAGACAGCTCTGGCAGGAGACTGGATCGAGGGTATTTGCATATCTATCTTCAGGACATTAAGTGTTGTCTACGAAGTGAGGAGGAGAGCAATGCAATTATAGAGAAAGTTTAATTTAGGAGAAGGACAAGAAGGAGGAAGTGGTGGAAGATGGGGAAGGAGAAAGAAAGAAAACAAGGCAAATCTTGAAAAAAAGAGAAATCTTGTTTTCACTGAAATACAAATTTATTTCCTAAAGTGTGACAAAGACATCTTTAGAAAAGATACTCTTGTGTTTTTAGTGGAGGGTTGAGACCTCCTCTGATGTCTTTCAAGAAATAATGACAAAAAAGAAAGACCTACCTGCCACTTAGCAAACATAGCACTCGGTATTGTCATTTATGTGTTAGGTCACTGACTCCCCACCAGCTATATGATATCCCCTATATGATATAGGGGATGGAGAGCCTGTAGATAACATATGTCCAGCCCAATTTTTCAGGGCCAATAGTTGACAAAGGCCAGCCTTAGAACCTGAGGCCACGGTTCAAAGTGTGTGGAAAGACCAAGAAATTTTAAACAATGCTGGCAACTTTGTGTTGAAACTTCTCTATAAATAGTTCCCTGATGATTTCTAATTCCCGATGACTTGGTATAATGCGAGCTATTCGACAATGTGATATGGATAGATATTTCCTTTTCAAAACATTGCACAAATACATGATTTCCTCTCTCTGTCCACCCTGTAGGAGAAGTAGGAAAAGAGCAAGGTAATAGGAATTTACCTCCAAGCTATAAAGCCTTCCTCTCCTTTCAGTAATCATGGAGGGGAGTTCCTAGTTACTAAGGAGACAATAACAGATTCCATTAGGTTCAAGTACAACACTTGGGTTGCCTGGCTAGAGAACGTCAAAAAAGCAAAGGAAAATATTAGCATTGCTGAAATCATTTGATGTCTATGACTAATAAAAAACATGTTGGCAAACTGAATTTTTAGAAATGCCCAAAGGGCTTGGTTAGAGCTATGAATTAATGGCATACAGCAGTTCTGTCTGGAGAAAAGGTGGGGGGGGAAGGACAAAGATGTTAAACTCCCTTAAAATTTATCTGAATAAATGAAAGTTCGCAAGAGAAATCAATTTACGTTCTTTATTCAATTTTTAACTTAAATCTAAATGTTCCTTCGCCTTTCCTTTGGAGCTTAATAATAAAGTTTGCACATTTTGAGTCACAGTCATCCTTAAATTCTAAGGGCCCCACAAGCCTCTTTGGCCCTCTGATGGAACATCCCACAAATTCTGGAATTATTTTTAAGGGATCCCTGAAAACTGTACCCACCTTAGAGACTTTGAGGACTGAGGTGTCCATTCACACATGTGCTGTGCCTCTCAGGGCAGGAGGAAGCCAGAGGTGGAAAGAACTGGGGGTAAGCCAGACCTTTAATTACCCCTTGACCCAGGTCCCAGAGGTTACTATGGGCCTGCCTCAGGATGTTCATCCAGTCTCTGCTTGATCATTCCCAGAACAGGAGGCCTTTGCCAGGACCCATCCTATCTTGTTATGAATACAGCTCTGATTGTTAGAGGGTGCTTTCTCATGCTGTGCCAAAATCTGCCTCCTCTTGAGTTTTTTACCCATTGTTCCCCATGGTATATCTAGAATAATACTGTTTAACTCAACTTCCTTTCCTCTTGAATAATACCTTAGATTACTGAAGTCAGATGTTGTAACTCCCCTGTATACCATCCTCTCCAAACTAAATATCCTCAGTTTCTTTCTCAGATCATACAGCAAATATTCAAGTATTATAACAATAATAAAGGTAAAACATATGATCACCATAAGACAAAAAGATGGTCTCGAAATTGGATTTTTTAAAAAGATTTATTTATTTATTTAAGAGAGAAAGAGAGAGAGCATGTGCATGAGCAGGGGGAGGGGCAAAAGGAGAGGGAGAGAGAGAATCCCAACCAGACTCCCTGCTGAGTCTAGAGCCAGACAAGGGGCTCAATGTGGGGATTCCCACAACCCTGGTTCATGACCTGAGCTAAAACCAAGAGAAGCTTAACCGACTGAGCTAACCCAGGCGCCCCTGAATATTGGATTTTTTTTTTTAAGGGACTTAAGTTTTTTTTTAACCAAAAAGCTGAAATGTTTAAATGATATTGAGAAGCATCATGTCTTTCCACTAAGACATAGCTATCAAATCACTCCATCCATTAAGTCATCCTGTCAAAACAGAAATCAAGTCTGAAAGACTTCTTCTTGGCGACACCACACCAGCTCCCTGACAGTGGCCACCTCACCAAGTCCCTCCAAGTTGCTTTTAGTTTTTGCTTTATTTGCTATCAATGCCTACTTTGAGAAAAGTTTCCAGAAAGGTACTGATCCGCATATGAGTCATTATGACACATTCTGAAAAGAATGTGAATACTATCTATTAAGAATTAAGAGAAAAGCAATGTAAGGAAATACAAACTTTCCTTCTTACTCCTCTCAGTATTTCATTATAAAACATTTCAAACACAGAAAAGTTGAAAGAATTTTATAGTAAACACCCATATACTTAATAACTAGATACAAGTACCATTTTGCTATCTTCCATTCATCACCTGTTTATCAGTATCTCTTTCCATCCATCAGTCCGTCTTACTTTTTCACACATGCCCATGTAAGGTACGTTCATCCACATGCTTAACCCTCATGCTTCAGTTTGCACACTCACTGTTATTGGTTCTTTTCTGATACTTTTAATTAGCACTCTCTTCTGAATTGCTTTGCCGCTCTCTCCCTCGTTTCTATATCATTCCTCCCATTCTCTAGTCCCAGGATTCTAAATGGTAAGAACAAAGTGTGAAAAATCTGATCACGGGACAGTCTTGAAGTAGTATCAGGAAAGGACGCTGAAGACCACAAGGGACCTCATAGGCATTATTATCTCGGGCCTGGGATGGACAAGGTCCTCATGAATGAACTGGCACAAACCAACTTACAAGAGGGGGAGGTATCAACGAGCATGCCAACCTAGTAATTTCCTGTGGGAAACACAGCTAACTATCAAATATCCAGGCCAAGATATTTCTTGATCAGCTCAGTCTCCCCGTCTGAATTAATCTACAGAACAGGTCAAATTTGAAGGATTTTGGTGAACAGAGAGACTCAGAGGAAAGGAAATAGTAAGAAAGTCTTAGTGGCATGGAGCCTTATCAGTGCTGATATTTCAACAGTTGTCTGACACTGAAGGGGTGCTTCGTAATTAGTACAAAGATGAAATGAGTATGCATACTAACTACTACACTCTAAGAGAACTGCTGAACAGACCAGGAACTCATGTTGTGGATGAGGGTACCTCTCTCCTGGACTGTGCTGGTGAACCATGCCAGATTCCACCCCTCCAACTCCCGCTAAAAAATTTCCATGACTACCATTCCCATTTTTTTTTTTTGAAGATTTTGTTTATTTATTTGAGAGAGAGAGAGAGATCACAAGTAGGCAGAGAGTCAGGCAGAGAGAGGGGGAAGCAGGCTCCCTGCCGAGCAGAGAGCCCCATGTGGGGCTCGATCCCAAGACCCTGAGATCATGACCTGAGCCGAAGGCAGAGGCTGAACCGACTGAGCCACCCAGGCGCCCCTACCATTCCCATTTTAATAATACATTCTCTTTTAGCCATTTGCCTGCCATTAATTCAGTTTTTGTGAAATCCTAATACTGCTTTGGTCTGAAAGACAACCTCTCTTTAAAATGGGTGGTCTACATCTATAGAATCCCATCTTTGATGAACTGATTCTACTGGTTTTACTCTCAAAAAAAAGGAAGTGATTCCCTGCTACCTGAAGTTTTCCCTGATGTGTAAAAACCATTTGTTTTCCTATCTCAAGATTTATGTCTGATAAGAAATGTTAGTCATTTATATTCTGGGCTTCCTAATTACCAGTCCACAAAGACTTGGCAAAGTGAGCTCTTCAGTGGAAAGGCAGCAGGGCAGCAGTACATAAGTATAAATACAACACTTTGCACAACAGACAGTTTTTCCACAGTGTCAGATAAATCTAATTCTGACACAGCAATTTCATTCTGGAATCCATAAACAGAGCTTTCTAGTCATAAAGTCTCCAGGTGAATCCTTTGGTTAGGTAACAACTTCAAGTAGTTCTTTCAAAGGCTTAGATGTCATAAACCAGACTATTTTACAGCAAAGCAATTCCTGTCTTCTGTTGCTTAATGATTTGTACCCTTGACCACTTTCCCTGCAGAGATACCCTGGTAAATATCTGTAAACATCAGCATTTCATGGTAGCATCACACTCTTTAGAGTTTATTGGAAGGCAAACCTTTATGGTATTAGGGTAGAAAATGACACAGAAGCAAGGCTCTCTGAAACAGGCTCACTATTTCTCGTGAGTTTACTTACAGACTGAAAAAAAAAAAACACAAAAACAGGCACTTTTAGGCATGGGCACCTCATTGGTCAAATGCCAACCATCAAGAGTTGTTCTCTAACTGCCTCTATTATAAGCAACCAAAATACAAGGTTTAGCCGCAGATTAAAACCCTGAAGAGGGTAAAAAATACTCTGATGTAGAGAGTGGCTTTCGGTGCTGGGGCCTGGAACTCTCAGACGGGAGCAACGCACTTGTTTCATAGACCTCAGAAAGGACTTAAGCTAGATAAACAGGGACCAGTTCACCGAAGCTGGGCTTCAAAGGCCATGTTTGTTCAGACTTCATTAGTTCTTTTTATTCCTTTGATGCATCTGTCTCTAGTGACGGAAACTCTTATTTTTTCAAGAAACTAAAGCACAAAAGGAAACTGAAAAAGCTGCAAACTGATTTGGCAACAGCTAAGCAAGAGGCTGCCATCACAGTCCTGGAGCTCAATGAGAAGATAAGGACTCTATGTGAAGGGAAACCAGCCCCTAGAGGTCAGTATTACCACGTGACAGTTACATTGGCCCTAGGGCATGAGTGAGGTATATGCTTTTATTGGCCACAGAGCAAAAAGCGCGGCCACAGGGCCAGGCAGAATCCTGGCCCAGCAGCACGCTGACCTGGCCTACCCCACCTCCATACCCTGCGAATAGCAGACATGACACAAATTACTGACTCCAGGCTGGGTTCGCCTTCGCTGTCTGTGAGGTAGGGAATGAATAAGGGGTTCCTTAGAGGAAAAGTCTGTGAAGCTGAAGAGCTGGACTAAATGGATCTGAGAAGGGTCTTTGCATGAGCCGGGTAGCGGCGAGGGAAAGGGAGCGCCTAAGGAAGACCCAAGTGATGAAGCTCTGGAGTGGGACAAAGAGAGGAGCTTGTCTTCAAGTGTAGACAGGCTTGTACGCTGGGGCAGGCACAGGGAAGTTAAGAAGTGAGTGTTGGAACAACCCGCGAATGAATGAGCCAGAAACAAGCAGGGAACGCTGGGTGAGGATGAAATCTGGGTGATTCCGAAAACCTGTAATGGCCACTACGGTTTGGAGTTTTGAACAAGTCTTCTCTAAGTGCGGGAGGAAAACCCTTCCGATCGTTGTCCCCAGGAATGTTAGTGAACATTTAATAGTATGTGCCAGGCATTTGGCTAAGCACTTCACATGTATTTAATTCTCAGAATAACCTCTGAAGTAAGTTCATTTATGGATTCCTGAGGAATCAGCGGAGGCTTAGGGATGTCGATTACTTTGCCCCAGGTTAAACAAGTGTGAGCAACACCCAGGCAAGGAACCTCCTGCCAGCCACTTACCCTCCCCAGTGTGCCTGCGCCCTTCCCACACACAGGGATCCTCATCTCTGTTCTACAGCCGCGACATTCTGCCTGGTGAATCTCTTGGAAAACAGTGGTTCCCCCGGATAAATGTCTTTCTTTCATGTGTGGCACTCTTGTAAAGCCAGAAACATGCTATTATTCTTACCCTGGCTTCCTTTATTACTCATAAATAATTCTGGGAAAAGAATGGAGGAGGAAATAAATGGAGGAGGAGAAAGTAGGCGATGTGGTGGCTTCAGAAAGGGAGACACATCCGCATCCTGGCCACGTGGTAAACCTTTAAAATGAGTTTGGTTTTCATTTTCTCTTCTGAATAGCACTTTCCCGGGGTTGAAATGGCATGCAACACAGTCATCTTGAAACACATGCTGAAGGTCAATTTGTTTTTCTCTTTCCACAGAACATAATGATAGCTTATGAATTTACTTTTGCCACCATGAAAACTTAGAGAATAAAATCCATTCAAGGATATTACCCACTTAAAGGTCTTTATTCTAGGGCATCATAGCCAGATTTCAAGTTGCGTCACAAGAAGCTGATAATAATTGTACATCACGTTGGAGAAAGTTCTCCAGTTTACCTGAGAGAAGCTTTCAACTTCTCAACTGTATTTTGAATCTAGTGACAAAAGATCTTATTGCAAGGTATATAATTCTCATTGTTGACAAAAATTCCATTTATTGTATAATAACGATTTTGTCCCTCTGATATTTTAGTAGGTCAAAATCAAAATAACACTGAGGTACAAGGACTCTAATGGTTTGAGAGAGGATAGGAAATATGAAATCCCACCTTTGTCAATTTTCTCTCTATATTTCTAATTAAAAAAAAAAAAAAAAAACTACCAGTACAGGGAAAAAAAAATACAAAACCCTAATGTATTATGAACAGATATAAATTTAAATAAAGACAGGTATTCCAAGGTCAGTTATGAATGAAAACAGTGATTCTTTTTGGACCATATGTTGCTTCTTTTTTTTTTTTTTTTAATAAAGATTTTATTTATTTATTTGAAACAGAGAGAGAGATCACAAGTAGGCAGAGAGGCAGGCATAGAGAGAGAGGAGAAAGCAGGCTCCCCGCTGAGCAGAGAGCCCAATGCGGGCCTCGATCCCAGGACCCTGAGATCATGACCTGAGCCGAAGGCAGAGGCTTAACCCACTGAGCCACCCAGGCGCCCCATATGTTGCTTCTTTTATTTCATGGAAAAACTGAGTCAGTGCACTGACTTAAATAAAATATTTGCACTTTATTGCTCTCCCATTGCTCCCATGCCCCTCAACCTGAATTCAATAGCCCATGAGAATGTCAAAGCACTTTTGGCCCCAGAGTCTTATTAGCTTTCATTTTCAGAGACCTTTGGTCACCTTGTTCTACCTCTCAACATACTTAAAAGTAAAGTCTGCAAATATGTTGGTTACTTTAACACACAATGACCTCCATTTAGCCATACAACAATGAGGATTGACCCACCTCCCACACACATTCCTAGACCAGAACAACACCCCTCCCCTAGTTATTTTGTGTCCTTTTATAAAATGTTTGTTTTCAGTTCTCAGACCTCTGTTTGCAAATGACAGATGTTCCAGTCATACATTACAGCTTAAGAAGAAAGGGTAACTTATTGTCATAAGTGTAAACAAACTAAGAAAGGGCATGCCTTTAACCATATATAGTACAATAGATGCAGGGTCTCAGATACCATCAAAACACTCTGCGTCTCCCATAGCTGCTTCTCTCTTCACTGAGACGTAATTCGCTCAAGTGGGATGTCAGAAGAGACTGGAAATGTGGCCATAAGCAACTAGGGGCTGTTCTCATCTTTCCTCCAGAGAGAAAAAGAAAGCATTTTCCCACCAATTCTAGATAGAAAAAGTATAATAAAGCACTCTGTCCCTGCGTGGGTTCCCATGTAGGGACATGAACCAGTCTGTGGCCAGGGGTAGGGAACTATGGTTGGACAAGCTTGAGTCATGCACCTGCTACTGAGTGGCGGAGCAGAGGAAAATCAGGGTGGAAAAGAAGAGTGTTCTACTGGCTGCTCCCACCAGAAGCACAGGGCTGGATTTGGAGAGAAGCACTTACTTAAAGGAAGAGATAACCCATTACTAGAGAGAAAGAGTGAGGGATAAAACCCACATGTCCTAAACACTCTCAACTCATGGTTAAGTTAAAATATAATGTAATGCTTAATGAGTCACCCATCCATGAGTATTTGCACTTTTTAAATAGATTCTTCTTGATGAACAAAAGACCTTTGTGATCCAAGTAATAAATGTCCAATGATATAATTTCAGACCCCATAAAAAAGGAGAGTGAACCACTTTGGGAAAGGAATCCCCTTCCAGCCTCCATCAAGTGACACCATGGTTGCCTACTCTGAAGGCGTGCTTTATTTTAACAATTGAAATTGCAAGAGGGAAAAAAGTTTTTATTCTAAACGACATGTTACCTGGATTAACATAAAGCTATTTCTCTATTATAGTTACAGATTGATGCCTATATTCTAACAAGCAGATTAAGACATTGCCAAATAAATTAGAATATTTTTTACCCAAATGTGCATTTCCCCCCTTGCTTGATTCATTTTCTAAGTCAGTCTATATATATTAGGTTGCTGTTCAGCTCTTCTAATCAGAGGAATGTTCCAGAATATTAGGAATACCTTTAAGCATATTCTCATTTTGATGAAGCAGTGAGCTACCAAACTTTTTATATAAACACAGCAAACTTCTTCATTGGCTATGTACTTAAATTACCTCCAAGGAAATAAATGATTTAAGTCAATGGAAAGTTCAACTGAAATGAAAACACCTTTATTTTAAAACTGGCACAGCAGGAAACTTACTTACAGCCTGAGTGTTGTTTGTTGATTTTGCTTTGTGCAAATAATCACAGCCCAAGGCAGATTCCTTCCTACCGTTTCCACAGCCTGTACCTGAAGTGCTTATGGCTTTATTTACTAGCATAATTCAGTGAAATGTCTATTGTACCCCTTCAGGGTCACCTTTTAGTAAACCTTAGTATGCAGGAAGCTAAGGTTAAATTTCAAAAAGTATCTTTGTTTTTTTTGTCTGAAGAGGGCAAAGTTACTTTGCAAAAGTCATTCGTGACTAAGTGTTGCTGGTACATGAGCCTTAGGTCACTTGCTATGATGAAAGCTCCTATCTTTGACCAAAACATCAGGGACCTGGTTCATAGATCTCAAGCCAGTTTATGATGCATTCTTCTGGATTTTTTTTTTCTTTTCAATTCTTTTCTCCTAATATGCACAGCTGTTATACCAAGTAAGGTATCTAGCCCGAATATGCAAATTCTCACTGCCCAGATAACAGCCATATCAGCACTAAGTCATCTCTTGGTTTTATTCCTGTTAAGAAGATGCTCCCAGTCAGTGCAGGTACATCCCAGAGCAAGCTTCTCCTGGACTCAGTGTCTGGCCAGAGCCAGCCTTTCTTTTCAGGGAGGCATGGACAACGATCGATCGACACGACAATGATTTTCAGGGGCTCGAGATGGTTTTTAAACACTATTGATTTTAAGAATTAGACTATTGCTGTTCTATATTGTTAAAAAAAAAAAAAAAAAAACAAGAGATTTATCTCTTTGTCAACATCCCAGAGCCAACTGTGATCAATATTTTCAAGAGTATCTTTTATCAGGATGTCCACCCCAGGGAACTCAGGCCTCTTATTCTCTGTCCTCCTACAAACTTCCTCCGGATCAAAGGAATTGTAACGAGGTATTAAAATCAATAGGAATTGTAACGAGGTATTAAAAAACAAACAAACAAAAAACCTTAGGATTTGAGGGTGATAAGAGCATTCTGGAATTAGTCAGTGATAGTGGTTGCACAGTATTGTTAATATAGGAAAATGAATGAATTGTACACTTTAATTGTACTCATGGTGTATTTTGTTATGTGAATTTTATCTCAATGGGGGAAAAACGATCCTCACTAGGATGTAATGACTAACACCCTGTCAGTTTTAAGTGTATTTTAATGAGAGTGCCTTGGGCCCAAGTAAAATCTTGATTTGGTAGAGTTCTGAGCATTCAGAGAGAGGTCATATTCCTGTTTATCTTGTGTAGTTGTCCATGTGGGTCTAGGTTTTTTCAACAATGCAATCCTGTGCTCTTGATTTTCTATTAGTCTAGCTCTTTGAA